TCCCCCCATTCCCAAAGGGAAAAATTTGCGGGCATGAGCGCGGAGCGGGGAGCCGCTGGCGGGGGGCCCGGGCGCCGGGGCCCGCTCACGCGCCCCCCGGCCCTGCCGCAGGGCAAGGAGAAGGAAAAGATGAAGGAGGGCAAGGAGAAGGACGCGCGCTACACCAACGGGCACCTCTTCACCACCATCACGGTGTCGGGCATGACCATGTGCTTCGCCTGCAACAAGAGCATCACGGCCAAGGAGGCTCTCATCTGCCCCAGTGAGTAGGCGCCGCGCGGACCCCGGCGCCTCCGGGATATCCTTGGATCGGGAGGGCTGGGGCGGCGCCGGTGCCGGCGGCCTCTTCCCGGCCCGTCGGGTGCTGGGCGGGCAGGCGGTGCCGCCGGCTCCGCAGGGAGGGGAGACGCTGCCCCCGGCCCCCTCGGCAGCCCCCTTGCAGCGGGTGACACTGACCCGGGGTGGGGGGACGCTCCGGCCGGGCGCATCCCGGGGGCTTTGCGGGATTCTCCGGCCAGGTGCCGGCGGAGGCGGTTGGTGTTTGCCAAGGTCTTGGCAGCGAGGCTGCCCCTGCGGTGCGGATACAAGGCCCTGTGTGTGGCCCCATGCGTGTCCCCATGCATGTCCCCTATGTATCCCCATACGTGTCCCCATATGTGTCCCCACGCATGTTCCCACACACCTCTGGGCACCCAGCGGTGGTTGTGGCAGGAGGGGTCCCCGGGGGACCTCTTGGCTTGGCACCCCGAGCCGCTGCTCCGGCTGCTCCATCTGCTCCGGGTGCCCTGTCGGCACCTGGGCGCCGGTGGCTTCCGGAGAGGGGCTCTCCCTGTCCCTTTACCCCCGCTGCCATCGGCGCGGGGGGCTCGCGGTGTCCCCGCGCCGGTGCCCCCCTCACCCCGTGCCCCTCCCGCAGCCTGCAACGTCACCATCCACAACCGCTGCAAGGACACGCTGCCCAACTGCACCAAGGTGAAGCAGAAGGTGAGCGGCGGCGCCGGGCACCCGTGTCACGAGCTGCGCGGCCTCGGCCCTGACGCCGCTGCCTCCCTCTCTCCCTCCTTCCCTCCCGCAGCAGCAGAAGGCCGCGCTGCTCAAGAACAGCTCGGCGCTGCAGTCGGTGTCGCTGCGCAACAAGAGTGAGCGGGGGCCGGCGGGCGGGCGGGCGGCACCGGGGTGTCCCGGGGCTGTGGGGTCCCCCGGGGCGCCTGGGGGTGCTGAGCGGCGCTGCTGTCCCCAGCCGCCATCCGCGAGCGCCCCAACTCGGCCATCTACCCGTCCGAGAGCTTCCGGCAGACGCTGCTGGGCTCGCGCCGCGGCCGCCCGTCGCTCTCGCTCTCCAAGAGCGTCTCCACCACCAACATCGCCGGGTAAGCGCGCGGAGCCGCCGCGCCGCYGCCGCGCGGCCGCCTGCCCGGCGCTACCCGCCCGCTCCCCGCAGGACCCTCAGCGAGGAGTCTCCGCTGGGCATCCGCCGCATCCTCTCGCAGTCCACGGACTCGCTCAACATGCGCAACCGCGCGCTCTCCGTGGAGTCGCTCATCGACGAGGGTGGGACGCGGCACGCGGGGACGCGGGGACGCGGCGGCCGGGGCCCCGCCGCTCACGCCGCCCTTCCTCCCAGGCCCCGACGTCATCCTCAACCAGCTGATGAGCGACTTCGAGACGGACGAGAAGGACTTCGAGGCCGACTCGTGGAGCCTGGCCGTGGACAACAACTACCTGCAGCAGCACAAGATGGACGTCATGAAGCGGCAGGACGTCATCTACGGTGCGGGGACGCGGGAAGGGCTGCGGCACGAGCTGCGGCGCACGGTGGGGATGCGGGGCCGGGGTGCGGGTGTGAGGAGGAGGAGGATGCAGGGGTGGATGCGGGGCCAAGGCAGGAGACCCAGGGAGGAGGATGCAGAGATGGGTGCATAGGGATGGGGCGGGGGACATGGGGACAGATTGGGGATGCAGGGACCTGGATGCAGAGCTGGATGCAGGGGCAGAGGGACAGGTTAGGGATTCAAGGACGAGGAGGCAGGGATGGGAGACACAGGAGCAGGGCGCAGGATGCAGGGATAGAACAGAGGGACAGGTTAGCGGTGCAGGGAGCAGGATGCAGAGATGGGGGTGCGGGAGGAGGACAGGGGACTTGTTAGGGATGTACAGATTACGGATGGGAATGCAGGGATAGGGGGCRTAAGGACAGGACAGGGGACACGGGGACAGGTTTAGGGATGCAGGAATGGGGGACAAGTTAGGGCACAGAGATGCGGATGCAGAGMTGGGGACACAGGCCCAAGACAGGGGCCATGGGTCTGACGCCCTCTGCTCCCTTGGCAGAGCTGATCCAGACGGAGATCCACCACGTGCGCACGCTGAAGATCATGGCCAACATGTTCCGCAAGGGCATGCTGGARGAGCTGCAGCTGGAGCCCGCCACCGTGCAGAGCATCTTCCCCTGCGTCGACGAGCTGGGCCAGATCCACGAGCGCTTCCTCGCGCAGCTCCTGGAGCGCCGCAGGGAGTCCCTGGCGCAGGACAGCAACAAGAACTTCGTCATCAACCGCCTCGGCGACATCCTCGTCAGCCAGGTGGGCCGGGGCGCGGGCCGGGCGCGGCGCCGGCGCTGGTGCCGGTGCCGGGCTGACGGGCGCGTGGCCCCGCAGTTCTCGGGCGCCAGCGCCGAGCAGCTGCGGAAGGCGTATTCCGAGTTCTGCAGCCGCCACAACAAGGCGGTGAAGCTCTACAAGGAGCTGCTGGCGCGGGACAAGCGCTTCCAGCAGTTCATCCGGGTGAGCGCGCGGCGCGGGCGGGCGGGACG